CCGTAGCGCAAAGATGTCTGCCTCCATGGCTGCGAGACCCGCTCCTATGTAATTATAAATAACAAATTCTAAGGCAACGCAAATATTAAGGTTAAGAGGCTGAGCTCGTAGATGATGATAAATAACATAGTTATGTATAATATATTACATTTCTGACTGTATATCCCTGTAATTATTACACACTGTAGCTTTAATATACATTTTGCTGCAATATTCTAAGATGGTAAAAGCAGAGAAATATGTTTCCTTTATCCTGCTTTGCCGGCTTGATCGGAGTGCTTAGGTTAGTAAGCTAAACACTCTGCAGATTTAAGTAGACTTAAATCTCATTCCCAAATCAAAGTTTAGACTTCAGCCCTGATTAGAAAACAATAAAAGTAGACAGCAGCAACTACTGTTTGATCATGCTTACCCCATTTGGGAATAATGAATACCAACATTTATTTCTAAATGCCACTGAAGCAAGCCCATTTACCTCCCGTGCCTCTTAAAAACATTTCTATTAAGTATTTTATTACACTGAAACAATAATGCAACTGATTTATGTATTTACTTTATCATATTTAGTTACTTTAAAGGGGTGATAGAATGATGCTATAGGGTATGTGGTCCTTAAGGTCTCTGAATAGGGTGTGTAACATTGGTTGGGCTGAAAATGGCATATTAGCTGTTCTATGAACCCTAATGCAGCCTGGTTAAAAGCCCTAGAATGAAATGACAGGTTATCTTCCTTTTTATGGTATGCTCATGAATATTAGATGAGCTGTGCGCTGATTGGTTGATTTACAACGAGCGAAGCTGCTGAGCAAAGACGCATCATAGCAACGAGCACTCACTCACTGAAACATCAAACTGTTGATATGGTAGGGGGACCAGACGTCCTACTTTTCCCGGACATGTCCTACTTTTCATACCTGCAAAAATGTCCGGGGGAATTTCAAAATTTTGGTCGACTACAGTGCAGCAGAACCGAGCCGTGAGCTCTGGGGCTGGTCCGAAACCCCGGCGGAGGGGGGCAGGGAGACAGCGTCAGCTGGCTACCTCTATTCTTGTTCTTGGGCCAGTGAACCAGTGGGCTGTTCTGTATTTAAATTTCGAGGCGTGACAAAAGTACAGGCCAGAACCAAATAAGGCAACATCCCAGAGTTTCTGTCAACACAGAGCTTCGTTTTGATTCGTCCGTTTTATGGTGGAAGTTTAGAAATTGTGTGCTTTGCATAGAAAGGAGGTGTTGATGGGGTTTGAACTTCTCTATACATCCATTCCACCCACTGAACTATCGTTATTCATCTATGACAATGTAAATTCGGTTTCGGTTATCGGTATCGGCAAGTACCAACAAATAGGGCACCGATACCATTTCTAGAGCCAAACGTTTATTCAACTATTGTCACCAATTCCAGGTAGGCAATAAAAAGTTCTACAGGATTCACTTTGTATTCAAATGTTTCCTGCTTCACAAAGGAAGGCAGCAGCTTGACATGAACCCATGATGGCGATTATTTTACATCCAAGTAGTCTGCAGTTCTTCATATATACACACACACACATCAATTTCAAACAGATGGTATCGGTATCGACCAATAATGCACAGCCAGGTATCTGTATCAGGGACAAAAAATACAACACTACTATAACCCAGTACTGTTCCCCAGGCGCCGCACAATGGCAGCCCACTGCTTCCCAAAGGGATGCGTTAAATGCAGCGGTAAATTTCTCCAATGTGAGATCAATAAAGTTCAATTATTATTATTATTGTTGTTATTATAGTGTTGCTATTAATTAGAATATACAACTTGGAACCTGATTTTAACATCATGTTTCCCTGATACTAACAAAAACACAGTGAAATGTCCTTTGTGTTGTTCTTTTTAATCAATATAAAGGTTTAGCTAATCATGAACTTTGTTTTAAAGAATCTGCAGGCATTGAAAATGTTTCAGCTGAGGTTTGATGACCACTTTGGAAAGATGCTATCAAGATGCCGATGTGTTTTGTTAACCAGCTACATGCTGTTTAGACCAACTTCTTTTTTTTTAACAGTGTTTGCAAAATGTTCTCATCCTGGCAGACCCTTTATATCGTTCTTTTTACCATGAGCAAGAAATGATGCCACATAAACGACACAGAACAATACAGGTGGTAACTTTTGCAGTGCTAATTGAGCCAATCAAAGTCATGCTAACAGAAACCTGTGATAAAAATAAATTTAGCAGAGAAATACCATGCAATGAAAAAAATTTAAATCCACTTTATATTAAAAATTTCTTCTTAAAATAGGTGCATTTTTTCTTAAGGTTGAGGAGGCAAGTGAAACACTTCTCCAATGGAACAAGAAAATGTACATTTAAAATTAGAAAAAAACAACTGCATTGTATTATTTCAAGTGCATGTTTTCTAATTATCTTGTTTTAAGAGTAAAAATCCTCATTCCATTGGCAGATAATCTTATTTTTCTACTCATATTAAGAGTAAATACACTTAATTTAAGACATTTTTACTTATTTCTAGGTCGTTTATGCTGTGTGGTTGTTTAATCTCACAATATCTCCTTCCACTCCTACTGATACCCAGTCTGAGCAGAGATGAATTTTAAAACAGCTTTGTTCCTTCAAAAGGTGAAGCAATATTTTTCGTCCACGTATAAGAACATATTTTAACATTCAATCTTAATTGACAATGAAATCCTCATTTGGAAAGCTGCTACTCCTCCTGGTTTTGTATTTACTGCGGTAATACGCAGACCTTTTGCAGTTTTGTTTTTTACTTCATTTGAACATTGACAAAGAAAAAAGTGCAGCTGGCACCTCACCACCTGTTGCACTGCGCAGGTTACATCACCTGGCAACAAATCATTCACAGGGATTTGTGAGTCTTTACAGGACCCGGCAGATTATAATAAATCAAAAATTAACTTCTAACAAGAGCTATGATTTCTGCAAAGTTGTACGGAAAAACAAAACGTCAAACAAATGAGATGTGCTCTAAAAGCTTAGCACCTCAAACACTTAAAGCGTTCCCACAGATGTTGCAGTAAACAACGACGCCTTTGCTGTGGTCAGTTCAGGCTCTGAGCCAATGCTTGGCCCCTGTGGCAATCAGGGTCACCTCAGGGTACTTAGTACACTCAATGGCTGCCTTGTTGGCAAGTATGGTCAACAAGGATTTGACCTTATTCTGAAAAGAGTTCTCCAGCTATTCCATAAAGCTGCTGAGGCTCTTAATCACTCTGCAAACGGAGCGAGGAGATCAACGAACACTACTGCGGCTTTGCTCTTAATACTGGACAAGGGAAGATCCAGTTCTGGCTGCATGATACATGAGAGGCTGCAGATTTTCCTGCATTAATTACCCAATCTATCGGATTTCCGCATTTTCTGAATCAGATTAGCCTAACTTTTACCAAAGTTTTTGCCGTTTTTGAGGCTCTGAACTTCACATAATTAAAGAAATCAAGATTTTTGTTTCATCGTTTTTTGTAGTTGCATGTTGTAATATTATTTTTCTACTTCTCGAGTGTGCAGACTGCATGAATGTCAGCTTTCATGCCGAGTGGCCCAGAGGCGGAGGGGAGGGAGAGCAGGAGGTTGCTTCTGTTCGTCACGGTTAATGACCATCTGACTTTGGCCTTGAAGTCTTTCACTGTAGAGAAGGAGGAAGCGAGAGGCAGCAGAAGGGAAGCCCATTCAGTATAAGGGGGAGCTGTGAAGTGCGGGGAGGGGGCAACCACAAGAGAGGACGGATGGATGGATGGAAGAAAAGGGCGAGGGAGGGAGGGAAGTTTTAGTGTGTGTGTGTTCACTTGCTGGGGAGTTTTTTAGAAACAGGGAGGGTGAGAGTGAGGGATGTGTGCCGCAGGGTTAGTGAAGGATGATAATTCACCGTTAAGCCTCCTAGAAAGACCAGCTGGCCCCTCTGGAGTCAGATGTCAGCCTCCACAGCCAGGACTCGATCTGCGTGTGTGTGCTTGTGTGCGCTGGCGCTCATGCATGTATATACACTGATGTATGCGTGCGTGCTGTCATCAGTCAGAGCCCTTGAATGCTAGAAGGAAAACACCTGCATGGGGAGCTGTAGATTTTATCAGTCTAAGCTCCCTATCTCTGTGACAGTGGGACTGGTCAGAAAACACACACACTCACGCACACAAGCATGCAAATGCACAAGCACCATCTGCTTGCTAGTTAGGGCTATTGTTGTGAGCCATTTGGGTAGTGTGTAGAGGTTTGGCTTTGTGCAGATCTTGACCATCAGTCGGCCAGCTGGCCTGACTTTGCTTTTCCACTCGGTTGCAACAGAAAACAGGCCAAGGGAGAACCCAAACCAAACCAAGCGGCTCCAAAACAAGCTTGTTAGCACTTTCAGCATCAGTAAATCTACCTAATTTTATAAACAAACTGTCAATTCATTTTTCAATCGGTCTGGCTGTGGAGCACCCTAACAGATTTTCATATGTTGATAACATGCCACTCTTTCTAGCTTAAAGTACCCCCCCTTTCCTGCCTCCTTTTTCCTCACTAATCTATACTAGCCAGGTCATGCTGAGTTTGCTGTGCTTCCTTGTGAAAGGGCTGAATTATTCAGCATTGTAAGTATGTGTGGATCTGCATGTGTGCGTGCACACATGTGCGCACACGTTAGCACAAGTACAGCTGGCCTGCTGGTTCCTTTTAATCAGAGGACGGCCAGTCTGCATGAATGCCTGCATTGTTGGGTCATGTGTATTCAGGACCACTGCGTGTGTGATTTGTGTGTGTGTGTGTGTGTGTGTGTGTGTGTGTGTAGAACTCAACAGGAGTATCAGTGATTATAGTGTCTCAATGTGAAAGTGCACCTCACAGGATCAGTGGGTCAACAGCTCTTAATCAGCCACTAAGTTGTTTGTGTGGGTCATATGATTTCAGCTGCTGATTGTTTTTGAGAATATGCAACAAATCTGGTGCGTTTGTAAAGGTTAAAAGTGTTCCAGTTTTATGTTTTCTGTCTCCTTTTGTCTCCAGGGCGAAACGAGCTGATAGCCAGATACATCAAACTCCGAACAGGCAAGACGCGGACAAGAAAACAGGTAACCACGGGAGTGTGTGTTCAATCAAATCATCATGACAGGATGACGTAGAGCAGGTACACTCTGTCATAATGAAGCCGAACCAATGAAAAGAAAAGCTGATGAATCAATGACAGAGGAAACATGACAGCAAATTTAAACCTGTAATTTATATTCCTCAGTTTTGAAGCCCTGACATGTCAGGAAAAATAAAACTATATATATATGTGTGTGTATATATACAGGTGCTGGTCATAAAATTAGAATATCATGAAAAAGTAGATTGATTTCAGTAATTCCATTTAAAAAGTGAAACTTGTATATTATATTCATACATTACATACAAACTCATATATTTCAGATGTTTATTTTGTTTAATTTTGATGATTACAAATGACAACAAATGAAAATCTCAAATTCATCATATCAGAAAATTAGAATATTACTGAAGACCAATAAAAACAAAGGATTTATAGAAATGTTGGCCAACTGAAAAGTATGAACATGAAAAGTATGAGCATGTACAGCACTCAGTATTTAGTTGGGCCTCCTTTGGCCTGTATTACTGCAGCAATGCGGCGTGGCATGGAGTCAATCAGTCTGTGGCACTGCTCAGGTGTTATGATAGCCCAGGTTGCTCTAATAGTGGCTTTTAGCTCTTCTGAATTGTTGGGTCTGGTGTATTGCATCTTCTTCTTCACAATACCCCATAGATTTTCTATGGGGTTAAGGTCAGGAGAGTTTGCTGGCCAATTAAGAACAGGGATACCATGGTCCTTCAACCAGGTACTGCTAGCTTTGGCACTGTGTGCAGGTGCCAAGTCCTGTTGGAAAATGAAATCTGCATCTCCAAAAAGTTGGTCAGCTGCAGGAAGCATGAAGTGCTCTAAAACTTCCTGGTATGTGGCTGCGTTGACCCTGGACCTCAGAAAACACAATGGACCAACACCAGCAGATGACATGGCACCCCAAACCATCACTGACTGTGGAAACTTTACACTGGACTTCAAGCAACGTGGATGAAGTGCCTCTCTTCTTTTCCTCCAGACTCTGGGACCTTGATTTCCAAAGGAAATGCAAAATTTACTTTCATCAGAGAACATGACTTTGGACCACTCACCAGCAGTCCAGTCCTGTTTCTCTTTAGCCCAGGCAAGACGCTTCTGACGCTGTCTGTGGTTCAAGAGTGGCTTGACACAAGGAATGCGACAGCAGAAACCCATGTCTTTCATACGTCTGTGTGTGGTGGTTCTTGAAGCACTCACTCCAGCTGCAGTCCACTCTTTGTGAATCTCCCCCACATTTTGAAGGGGTTTTGTTTCACAATCCTCTCCAGGGTGCGGTTATCTCTCTTGCTTGTACACTTTTTTCGACCACATCTTTTCCTTCCCTTCGCCTCTCTATTAATGTGCTTGGACACTGAGCTCTGTGAACAGCCAGCCTCTTTAGCGATGACCTTTTGTGTCTTGCCCTCCTTGTGCAAGGTGTCGATGGTCGTCTTTTGGACAACTGTCAAGTCAGCAGTCTTCCCCATGATTGTGTAGCCTATAGAACTAGACTGAAAGACCATTTAAAGGCTTTTGCAGGTGGTTTGAGTTAATTAGCTGATTAGAGTGTGGCACCAGGGGCCATCAATTTTGAACCTTTTCACAATATTCTAATTTTCTGATATGATGAATTTGAGATTTTCATTTGTTGTCATTTGTAATCATCAAAATTAAACAAAATAAACATCTGAAATATATGAGTTTGTATGTAATGTATGAATATAATATACAAGTTTCACTTTTTAAATGGAATTACTGAAATCAATCTACTTTTTCATGATATTCTAATTTTATGACCAGCACCTGTATATATACTTACTACCCATAATTATAGCAACTGATCTATTACTAACTGATGTAAAATAGAAGAAAATATTAAAAGGTTTGCAAATTTTGGCGTCTCGAAGAGTAAGATAAGGAAAAACGTGTAACATACAGAAACTACAAAAATGTTGGTAGAAGGAACATTCTTTAAGTAAGAAAATTTAAAAAAAAAAATCTATAATTACAGTAAGAGTAGGTAAAACTTTGAAATGACACGGCAGACACAGCAGATGGAAAATAACTTTCAGCCACAACCACAAAGCAGACTTTAATTGAAAGCCAACTAAACTTAGTCTTTCATGAAGACGTTTCGACAAAGATTCCTGGATAGGTGTCATAATGTCTTCAGATAAACTGCGAAAATACAGTTTAGGGCTGCAACTAACGATTATTTTGCAAATCGATCTGTTATTTAATTTTTTCAATCAATCGATTGATTATCCGATAGCCAAAGGTTCCTTGAAAAATATTTTTCACCAGATTAAACCAAGTCAAACTAAAACTTTTCCACTGGAGGAATTCTGGATTGAGCATATTGACCTACAAAAAGTTTTATTTTAAAGGTACACTATGCAAACGGTGTTGATTTTCCAGCGAGACTCCCCCCAGAGGGCGAAAGTAAAAGTGCACTGTCGTAAATATGCACAGCTGTTCTCCTGGTTTCTCCGTCAAGCCAGGCGCGGTTGTTTTGAGCTTAGCAGACAGGCGAACGCAACGCATGACTAACGCTGCGTTCACACCGCAGCTGGCGCGACAGAAGCAGCGAGTTTACATGCAAAGTCAATGGTTGACGCGCGTCAAGGCGCAGCAAAAGGTCCCGCGGCGAGTTTTGAGCAGCAGGCGCAGCGCGTCTGAGCAGCTGAAGCAGCGCGTCAGGCGCGTTTAAGCATCTGATGCAGGGAGAGAGACACAGCGCTGATGATCACTCCTCTTAAACAGTTTATTGACGCCTAAATTAACTTAAAATGCAGAAATCTGCCGGCAGAATATGCAGTTTGGATTATTTAGATGAAAAACACCTACCAGCTGCCTCGGTGAACCGCGAGGAGGCGACCCGGCCAGAGGCTGCTGATGAAGGGATTCCTACTGTCGGCGCACCGCCGGTATGTGGGGGTCTGAGCGGCTCCGACAGAAAAAATATTGAAGGCAGGATGATAATCTGAATGAACTGACTGCACTGATTACGTTTTCAGGTGTATTTTCTCACTTAAACGGGCGACAGTGGCGTGATGGGCGACAGTGGCATTGGATGTAGGAGTTTGCCCTGAAATCGAAGGGTTGACGGTTCAAGCCCCGACTCTGACTTTCATTGTCGTTGTGTCCTTGGGCAAGACACTTCACCTGCATTGTCTACTGATGGTGGTCAGAGGGTGGCGCCAGTGTACGGCAGCCTCGCTTCTGTCAGTGAGCCCCAGGGCAGCTGTGGCTACAATGTAGCTTGCCACCATCAGTGCGTGAATGGGTGAATGAATGTAGTGTAAAGCACTTTGGTCAAGTCTCCTAACTTGAATAAAGGCGCTATATAAGTACATGCCATTTACCATTTAAAGGGAAATTCCGGTTTTTAACACTTTTAGCCCATTTTCTGTAGTGTCCAGGATGAAATCGAATGATCGACACCAAAATTTTGACGATTGGTCCTGTCTCGGCTATTTGGCTCATGCAGAATCCCCCCTGGCTGCTTCAGAATGGCTTCCATAGTGCATGTCCGATAATGTCCTTAAAACAACCTTAAACGTTCTTTTTTTAAAATATGCTACTCACCGGGTCGTCAGCGCTGTTCAATGACGTTCCAAAAAAAGTTTCGTAAAGAAAAAACTTTCCTGTCTTGTTTTATTTAGCATTTTGTAAATCCCAGAACTATTTTTTCCGATACATCACAACCGCTTATAAACTTCCGCTTGCCGTTCGAATCGGAAGCGTTGCACACTCCAGACCACTAGTTGGCGACGGTGTCCTCTACCGTCAAACTCAAAGTCCAATATGTCCTCCTCAAGAATCCACCTTTCGTATTCCATTTTCAGAGTTTTTTAAAGTGTTTAACAGAGACGTTAGCACCTCGACGTCGGAGGACACAGAGTGAAGCGAAAAGACTACAACTGTGTAAACAGGCCCCATTTCCGTTTCCGGTGGCGGAGGGATATTGACTATTCCAACAGAACTCAATGGGATTTACAAAATGCTAAATAAAACACTACAGGAACGTTTTTTCTTTACGAAACTTTTTTTGGAACGTCATTGAACAGCGCTGACGACCCGGTGAGTAGCATATTTTAAAAAAAGAACGTTTAAGGTTGTTTTAAGGACATTATCGGACATGCACAATGGAAGCCATTCTGAAGCAGCCAGGGGGGGATTCTGCATGAGCCAAATAGCAGAGACAGGACCAGTTGTCAAAATTTTGGTGTCGATCATTCGAATGCATCCTGGACACTACAGAAAATGGGCTAAAAGTGTTAAAAACCGGAATTGTCCTACTTTATTCCCACTGATCACAGCAAATATAGCTGCAAGGCAGAGAAAGGATAGTGAAGCTCCGCCCAACGCGCGTCAGACACACTTTTGCACCACGCAGCCAGAGCAGCAAAGCTGCTTCAGCCGCGCGTCAGAACTAACTGGTACAAGCAGCAAAAAGGAAGCAGCAGACGCGATTTTGCTGCGTGAACGTAGCATAACTGCACAAAGATCGCCACTGTGCTAGCAACGAGCATGCTTTTAACTGGGGGCGTGTAGCAGTTCTCGCCGTAAAGCAAGACCGACTCTCGCGAGACTTCTGAGCCTGTGGGTGCGGGTCGGTGCTCCTGCAATTGCAAGTGCGGTATTTCCCCCACAGACCACCAGGGCGGCTGAGAATACCTTTGTTCAACCTGAAATGACTCATTTCATCATCCAAAACGTTATGGAACACATTAATTACCTGAAAAATGTTGCATAGTGTGCCTTTAAATGCAAAATGTTTATTTGATATTTTTTACAATTTTGATATATTTACTGCTCTAAGTGGGTTGCTCTGTCAGCTAAAGGCACATTTTAAAGTCTCTATACTCCAGTTAATGATTAATCGATTACTAAATTAGTTGACGATTTTTTCAATAATCAATTAATCACGATGAATCTGATTTATTTTTTCAGCCCTAATCCGGTCGTCTTCCATTTAGTCGGTTTTGTGGTCACCATGACCCAGATGACCTAGATTTTAACCAATAAGCCTCCAGCACCAAAAAGAAGAACGTTTTTTTCTCTCAATGGTGCATATTGGTTTAAAACAAGCTTGTTTTCCTTTGGTGAAGTTAATCAAAATGGATGGAGCATCCAAAAAGCTTACTCGAGTAAGAGTAATGATGAGTAATCATATTTTTACTCAAGTAAAAGTAAAAAGCACAATGTTGTAAAACTACTGCTAAACGTAAATCATTCAAATAGTTACTCAAGTAATTGTGAGTACATGTAACTAGTTACTTCCCACCTCTACCTTTAACCCACCCATCAATGATGTTGGGGACAGTCTGTGTTTCTTCAGGCCTCTTTGTTTCTAAAGCTGTACCTGAATCAACACCAAGAGCTACAGTATGCTATTAAACCAGCCGCTCCTCCATCTGGGTAGCAGTTCATATTACTGCTAGGCTAACGTCAACATGTGTTCTCTCTATTTAGATAAGCCTTATTGATAATTCCCTTTACATAACCTATGGGGAAAAAGAAGATTTACAAATGTATTTTTTTCCTTGGTGTATTTAAGTTCATTGGGCCAAATTGTGATGGGAGCTTTATCACAGCTGAGTTTAGTCTGGTATTCTCATATGGATAGTTTACAATTCCATAATAGGGGAGTCATTTATACTGGATTATACTGGGACAGCCTGGGTTTGTAGTACCTAGTTTTGCTCATACAGATCACAGGTGGTTTCCAGGTTTTATGCAACATGAATCAAAGTAACGTTGCAGGTTGTTCCTACATATTAGTGGCACCGTAAACAGTTTGATGGCAGGTTTTTGGGGCAGGACCTAATGTTGCAGCAAAACCCAGATCTTGGCCTCTGTTCTCAGGTGTCTTTCTGTCCTCTCAAAAGATGTGCATAGATGGGTCTATTCACTCTTCTCAGGGGAGTGCATTGTATGAAGTGTGTGTCTGTGTGTGTACTTCCAGTAGAGCCACAGTCCTTTCATAACCATGGCAACTCTCTGTGTGGTCTTTCCTCCTCCTTTCCAACCCCCACCCTCCCTTCGCTCCTCTTCTCTCCTCTTCTCTCCGCTCCTTCTCTCCTTGCCAGGTATCCAGTCATATCCAAGTCTTGGCCAGAAGGAAATCCAGGGAGTTCCAGTCCAAACTAAAGGTATGGGGAGGCTGATCAGAAGCTGTAGGATTAACGTTTTGTGGTTTGGTGATTCATTTCCTGTTACAAGTTTTGTGAACAGGAAGTGTTGTTTTACACTCCCTGTTTGTTTGGAAGAAAAGCAGCCGGTAAGTAAAGATCAGGCATGATGACTGCCGTGGATGGACAGGCTGAAACCCATATATATAGATATATATCTCTCCTTAATGAACAAGAAGAATCTAAATTCAGTGTCTGTCCCTTGCTGTGACTGGAGGGATGCCTGTCACAGTGACTCCTGTATCCTTGGTGTCTAATTACCCCCTGTTTGGGTTTTCTCCTCCTCCTCCTCTTCCTGCCATTCTTCTCTTTCCTTGCATTCATCCATTTCTTCCTATTCTCTTTCCTCCCTTCTTCTTACTGTCTCCACCTCTCAGTCTATTAATCTTTTACTCTGCTTGTCTTGTCCTTTTTTCTTTCTCCTCGTCGGCTGTAATTAACTTTATTTAAAGCAACAGAGGAGAGCTTGTTTTGCAGAGAAGGCCAACTGGAACTCTGAGTTGACGAAGGGCTTAACAAAGGCCAGAGTAAATGCTTTTTGAGTTGATATACGCTGGAATCTCAAAAGTCTAGACAACCCTGTTAAAATGTCAGTTTTTTTCTTTTTTTTGGAACCTATATAAAAGTATTATAATGGGTAATTTAAAAAACCTTTACCTTTAAAGCCACCTGGTCCTTTTGGAAAAAAAACAAAACCTGCTTGATACAAATTTGACTGGCATTTCCAGTTTAGTTCCAGCACAGAGCTACTGTAATTCTGCTGCTTATTTTTGGTTATATAAGGTCAATATTTATTTACATTTGATGTTGACGGCTCGCTAACGGGTACATTCACTTTTATTTCTCGTAGAAGAAGATAGGTTTAATAATTCCTCTCCCTGCTACGATACTGAAACCACAGTTGGAGCCAGAATAATTTTCAGTGGCCATGCAGGGACCAATGTGCTCTGAGGGATGGTGTGAAACTGAGAGGCACCAAAACCAGTTCAGGATCAGTCTAAACTAATCCCAATAAGACATTAAACAAGTCCAACATCTGTATTTTCACAATAAATCCCTAAAGATAGACTATTTTTCTATGTAGACCCTACTAATAAATGTACACGTTTGAGTGACTTCTCCATAAAACACAAAAGCTAACTCTGAAAATGGCATAAATTCTCGATTTGTCATCTCTATTGCTGGTATTTTGAATCGAATTATTAAAAACTTTTTTGTTGTCAGTTCAGGGTTAATATACTGTAAAAAATGTTAAAAAATGAGAACAGTCCACTTGAGAGTATCACTGCTGCCACCCTCTGGTTTAGAGGGGAACTGCTGGTTCTGTAGGTGGTGACTGACGTCCACACGGTAACAGAAAACCCTGACATAAGCCCCCTTTACCATACCCGTTTGAAACCGTGCTGAGAACGGTCTGAGCACGGTAACCAAGATAACTATTGAGTGCAAATGAAACGCAACTGAACTGGACTGTGCCAAACAGAACGGAACCGCGTTAAATCTAGTACCAGTTCAACAGTAGGGCTCGGCACGGTTCAGTTGTGGCTCAGTGCTCTGATAACAAAGAGCAGTTGAGCAGACCGCATCATCGCGTCATCTCCTCAGCTGACTTCTTTCGCGGGTTTTCCGGCATGTCCATTTTTGTAATTCTTTACCTGTTCACAACAAGAACTTTCTTCTCAGCCAGTTAAAACTAAATTGCATCAAAAGAGCGTGGTGCGACCTGGGATGATGCCAAACCGAGGGTCTCATTGAAATTTGGGTGGAGGATGCTATTCAGGCACATAAGTTCCTGAATGTTATGGGCAGCTGAGAGCTGTAGTATCGTAGACCGCTGATAGGAGGTGAGGAAGAGTGCTAACATGATGTGTAAATGGTCATAAGAACCAAGCTCAGCACGCCATGATCCAAGCTTGGGCCGTATTGGCATTGATGGGTTTCATACGGGTAGTGGGGCAATAGGGTGGCCTGGCCACCTGGTAGTATGATGAAATGGCCTAATGTTCCAACCATATGTAAAACTTTGTTGAATCCATGGCGGTAAACGTCAAACTTGACTGTGTGCTGCTGATACACCAATGCGGCACTTTAGTTTAGATGAAGGCAGATGTTCAACCTAGTCAGTGTCTGAGTGTTTCCTGCCATATTGCTGGGGTTGGTGGTCACAGCGGAAACTCCGAGCCTTTGCAGCGGCCTTCCCATCACCACAGAGTCCACCCCTTAATAACCTGCTGCTGCAGGGAAGGACTCCGGTATGACACCTGCATCAAGCCGGACCCGCTATTTTCACTGAGGTTTATGTGGCAGCTCCTGCAGGCGGAGACGGCGGGACTCTTTTATGACTTTTATGACACAGATCAGACTGTTACATCTCCAACTTTTCCTCCTTCACACCACAGAGAGCTCTCTGCAAGACACTTTCTTTACAAAGACGGCAGTCGCAATAGTTCTGTCTGTGAAGCTTGTCTATAACCTTTATTTTTATATAGTTTTACAGTAGTTACACTATTGGTGCAGGGATTTCCTGTTTAGGAAATCTTATGTTTTCTATAGAGAAGTAAACAATTGTGGCCAAGCTAAAATCCTTCCGGACTTCGGTAGTGTTATATGCTATCAAGGAACCAGTTCAAAAGCATCCATTTGGAGCAAAAAACCGAAATCTGTGCATCACCAAAACAAACACCATAGCTGCGGTTGGACATGGTGGTGGCACCATCAACCTCTGGGGTTACGTCCCTTCTCAAAATCAAGGAAGATAAAATTATGAACAGTTCCGAGTTTTAACCCAAAACAAAGAAAGAATAGATTCAAAACAACAGATTAATGGCTCCTATGGAGACATTGGAAGGATTGGGATGACAGAGCAGGAGTGTAGGGGTTAACTGGATGGAAAACCAGTGGGGTCTCTAAAATGGAGCAGATAACCTCAAAATAAAAATGATTTCGCAATTTTATTGGATTTTTTTATTTGTTTTACGATTGAATTGTACAGGACATGTGCTCCTTTAAATACGCAGAAAAAGGTTTCTAAATGATAACTTTATTAATTTTATTTACATTGCAAAACAAAAGATTTGAACACAGGGTTTTACATTTTGTATTTACTTTATATTAATCATACATGGTTGGTGTGAAACTGGTTGCTTATTCAGAGCTAAAAATACCAATTTGCTGGATTTTAACTTTTCCAATTATGCAAAACACAGATTATACATCACACAATCTAGAAGAACATCTATTAGGAAATAACTTGATTTTCAAATGTTTGATAGAGATTAGATCTTTTTTATTATTACCTGATATGTAAAATCCATGCAAAGTGTTTTTGCAGCTCTGCTTTATCATCTCAAATAAAATGGGTAAAAAATAAAATAAAATTGAATTATAAGCTGTATAACTCTGTGCAGGTATATGCAGTTCATTAGAAAAGACTTTTTGAAAAGACAAAAAGGTCACTTATTAGCTGAAGCTCTCTTGTTAAGAAAACGAATGTGATTCATCGACTCATCCTTGGTGTTTAATTCTTCACTTTAGGTAAATTATTGCTTTTAGACCCTGAAAATAACCAGCTTTTGACATCAAATAAGTGACAACTGAAAAATTCATTTCTCAAACTATGATATTTTTGTTTGAAGCATACATATAATATGTTTTTTTTTTGTTTTTTTTTAAGACCGACAGCTGGATCTTGGTATTTAACATGAAAATCCACCATGATTCTCATCTCAGTACCTTCAGTAATGTTATTATCTCTCCCAGGAGGGGAGATTTCTCTCTGTGCCAATTAACTTGAGTGAAGTTGCCAATTAGTGATTCTCCCACTATCACAGGGGTTCTAATTCTCTGTCATTCAGCCGTTTTGCCTCCATGCTGCTTTTACCCTGAAGTGAAGTATTTCTAATCCACAATGCGTTGCTTTTTACTCCAACAGCTGTTTTACGGCGCAGCGCTGAGCCAATCGAGCTTCATTGAGCAATTAGTGTTAAGCTGAAACCTTTCAGAAACATTTTAACTTGTTTTTACAGAATATCTGTGTTTTTCTTTTGGTTTGTTTCCAGTAATATGCTGTGCAGCCATTGAACATACAGAGTGTGATGCATGTTCACTGTGATGATTGTGTTGACGTCCGTGTTTGCATGCAGGACCAGAATGCCAAGGAGAAAGCTCTGCAAAGCATCTCATCCATGTCCTCGGCTCAGATTGTTTCAGCCACAGCCATACACAGCAAGCTGCTGCCTGGAATAGTGCGGGCCAGCTTCCCCGGCAACGCGCAGGTAAAAACTAGCGCTTGCACAGAGACTAGTTGTATTTATCCCTAAAAAATAAAACTCATGAATGGGGATGGAGGTAACTGAATATGCAGAGTCAGTTCTGCTGTTTCAGAGAAGAACAAGAACATTGCTTTGCATTTGTTTTTTGCATTATTTATTTTTTGCATTCTCAGCGTTGTGTATTAATACATGCATTTATTTTCAGCTGTGGCAGGGGATGATTCCTGGAGGGCAGTCCAGCTCCACCACGGAAGAGTAAGTCACATTTAAATGGGGCCTTCTTATCTAACTCAGCAGTTGATCAGTTGCTCCATTACGTTCCTTATTTCCAAGAGCCTTAAATTTTACTTGTTCCAGGTTAGTTAAGACATAATCGTTTTTCTCAATCAATAACTAATAAGGCAAGGCAAGGCAAATTTATTTGTATAGCACAATTCAGTACAAAGACAATGCAAAGTGCTTTACATGATTAAAGTACAGGAATATAAGCAAGTAGGAAAAAAAAAATTTAAAAATAATAAATAAAATAAAATAAAAATTGCAGAAACAAAAAAAGAATATTAAAAACAGTTGGATTGAAGAAAATATGTTTTAGTTGAACTGTTTAACTAGAACAGTGGAAGGCAATCCTAAACAAATGTGTTTTTAGTCTTTATTTAAAGGAACTCAGGCTTTCCGCACTTTTACAGTTTTCTGGAAGTTTGTTCCAGATAAGTGGAGCATAGGAACTAAATGCTGCTTCTCCATGTTGATAAATTATTTATTTTTCATTTCCTTTAATTTTATATAAAAAGAAAACACACAATATGATCCATGGACAACAGATATTTACTACAAAATCAGGTTGATGAATCAGGAATATAAGGAACTGACATCCTATCAAATCAATAGTGTAATATTTATTTATTTTTAACATTTAATAAAATGTTGCTTCATGCTGGCAAACCTACTAGCTGCTCTGGTTAACTGAGCTTTTTGGCTGCAATAAGCACATCTAGCAAACCTCCATATATAAACTAAAATAAATTAACAGTTACCTCAGATTAGAAAGGTATAGTAAAAAGGGAAACATTCCTAAATGTTTTAGTCAAAAAGAGTCAAAAAGCTAAGCTAGTGCTGACAGGCCATGTTTAACCCTTTAAAGCCTGAAACTTGAAATAAATGAAAGAACATTAGAATTTTTAAAGATTAGAATTCATTGATCTTTCTGAAAAAATTTTGTATAAGTTAAATTAAATAATTTATTTGCATTAAATTTGATAAATTAGGCAATTCCGTATACATTTTCTGTTCACTACATGTGTTTGAATATTTAAGTCAGTTTTTTCAACAACCCGAATATAAGTGATGATGCTAAAATCTCACAAACTCACGTATCAAATATGATACACTTGGCTTTAAAGGGTTATTAGGTTCATAAATGTCATTGGTAAATGCAGAGGGTTATTACGTCAAGTTTGCAAAAGCTTTGCATAAAGAATAAATGAAACACTCGCTATTTGTGTATTTCAAGAAAGCTCAGCTACATACATTAATATCCAACATATTTCAGCTTTAAAAAGATTTTAAAGATGTGCCTCAATATATAAATTTGTTTCCATGCAATTATTAGTCTTTGATGTGTTTTAATTTTAATTTAGTTAAAACTTGCTGTCTGCTATCATAATTACTAGCCAAACTAGCTAAACCAGCTAAACTAGCTTTATGGCTACCATAAACAACTAGCAAACCTCCACATATACAAGATAAATTAAAAACCTTTAGCTGCCTGCTTCATTATAGAGGTTAAAATAACATAAAAAACAAAAACAGAGCAATTTAAACTTAAATTTTACTAGCAGGTGCTTTTATTGCAGATGTTTATCAGAAATAACTATTTAAAGTATTTGGTTGGAACTATATTTATAAGTTTTAGCTCAACAGATGCATAAGAAAATAAATAAATCATCCTGATATTAACATGCTATATTTACAGCATTCCAGTTATGATTAACTGCTTTTCACAGCTTCGTTTTGCATCCATGTTGTGTTAAATTAACTACTGGCTGCTCCTCTGCATAGAGGCTGTGAATTTAGCTGCTAAAGTGAAGCACATTTTGTATTTAGTTTGCTAAATAAAAAAATATTGAAATAAAGAGCTGATTTTTATCCTTTTATTCAGATTAAGATTAGAATTTGTTTTTATCTGACTAATTCTGATAGGAAGTATGACAGACATTTAACAATGAGTAAACAAATTAGAATGAGTATCGATTTGGGGGAAAAGCGGAATATTTATCTGTTTTTATTGAAATACAAAAAAAGAGTATAAACTTTATTTACTTTATTTATAAATGATTGCATTTCCAGCTCTGTCTAGCTAAATTTTTAGAATGAAATTATATAAAATTACTAGTGGTAAGAATATTTTTGTGGTTAAATATCATAACAAAAAAAGTCTTATAAATTATTTTAGCTTCATATTTATTTTACAAATGTTTTTTATCAGACCTCTTAGGCTAAGAGTAAAATTGACTGTAAATGGGTTCCCTTTTTCAACATCAAATTTTCCATTAAAATAATTATTTTTTTTATTTTGCTGGTAAATTAGAGTTGGTCTTATTTCTCTCTGTCAAAATGTAAAGAGAAGTCTTTTCTTTGCACAAGGAAAACATCAGAAGACTTTTTTTCAATTAGATGTATTATGCATTTTTATCTATAATCAGACTGTATCTGCATGATTATCCCAGCTTATGATTCAGAAACAATTAGCTTGATTAATTCTCATGACTGATGCAGAAAATCTGTCCGCCATCATATTGGCAAACACTGATTATCTTGTCAATGCCAACATGAAGACCACCTGTTGAGTTTAAAATTAGATGTATTTCGTTTTCTAGAGCCCGACTCCTGCTGCGTTCTTCACTTGCATTAACGTCTTTTCACAAAATTCTGTTTTTTACTGCTCGCCGTGCTTTTGGGTCTGATGATAATGGCGGTAAATGCGACTGTTCGGCTTTTATTGAACTCGGAGCTGCTCTTGACCTCTGCGCTCCTGCTTCTGTTCATACAAAGCAGAGAACAGAAATCATTTTTGTATAATACGAATGCATTGAGGCCAGTCCTACTGTGTCTCTTCCATCTTCCAGTCTTTTTTATATTTTTATGTGTGTGTGTGTGTGTAATGCTTTCTTGTGTGTTTCTCTGTCTCTCTCAGCATCAAGCCGTTCTCCCAGCAGGCCTACCCTGTGCAGACAGCAGGGACCACCGCAATCGCAGGTGAGAGGGACCATGGGACAATTATCTTCTTTCTGCAAAGCAGAACGTCGGCTCTCTCCACAGCCATTTATGATGTTTCCTCACCACAGGGTGGTCTTTGACTGCCGAGGCACATGGATCCCAAGCACTGCCTTCTTTGTCTCGCAAAGAGGTCAAAAGGAGGAAAACTGTGTCAAACTAACTTTTTAATAATTTAACACTATTAAGTTTACCTTGAATCTTTAAAAAAAAGAAAGAAATAATACATTTTAATTGATTTAGGAGTATATTATCAGCTGAAATACAAAGTAAAGGTTTACAAATGAAGTCACTACACCAGTTTTATTTATTCCATATTCATCGTCATTTAATCCCTAAAAACAAATTTAAAGGCGGCATTTTGTTTCAGATGTGTTTGAGCTACAGCAGCAGAACAAGTGAGCGATTAGCGGCTTCAAAGTTCAGCTCAGGAATATGACAGCGTGCCGATTTCAAGCTATACTTTCTGCTCATCAGATGCGATTTAGAAAATAGGAGGTATTGAAGTGCAAGGATACATCAACCCTGCAACTTTTAAACAGAAGTGGCTATTTTCCCAAATATCAGGCTAGTTAAAACCGCCCTAAATGTTAATATTTTTTTTCTTTTTCATTGGATCTGCATTATGAAAAACCAAACACCAGATCAAGACATGAAATTGCTGTTCTTGTGTTTCTTTCATTCTTTTAGACTTTTTCTTTTTATGGATGGATGTTTACGAGGAAGGAAGGAAGGAAGGAAGGAAGGAAGGAAGGAAGGAAGGAAGGAAGGAAGGAAGGAAGGAAGGAAGGAAGGAAGACATGTCTAGTTTGGAGGGAGGGAGGGAGGGAGGGAGGGAGGGAGGGAGGGAGGGAGGGAGGGAGGGGAGGGAGGGAGGAAGACATGTCTCTAGTTTGGAAGGGTTGGAGGAAGGAAGGAAGGAAGGAAGGAAGGAAGGAAGGAAGGAAGGAAGGAAGGAAGGCATGTCTAGTTTGGAGGGAGGGAGGGAGGGAGGGAGGGAGGGAGGAAGACATGTCTCTAGTTTGGAAGGGTTGGAGGAAGGAAGGAAGGAAGGAAGGAAGGAAGGAAGGAAGGAAGGAAGGAAGGAAGGAAGGAAGGAAGGAAGGAAGACATGTCTAGTTTGGAGGGAGGGAGGGAGGGAGGGAGGGAGGGAGGGAGGGAGGGAGGGAGGGAGGGAGGGAGGGAGGGAGGGAGGGAGGGAGGAAGACATGTCTCTAGTTTGGAAGGGTTGGAGGAAGGAAGGAAGGAAGGAAGGAAGGAAGGAAGGAAGGAAGGAAGGAAGGAAGGAAGGAAGGAAGGAAGGAAGGAAGGAAGACATGTCTAGTTTGGAGGGAGGGAGGGAGGGAGGGAGGGAGGGAGGGAGGGACGGAGGGAGGGAGGGAGGGAGGGAGGGAGGGAGGGAGGGAGGGAGGAAGACATGTCTCTAGTTTGGAAGGGTTGGAGGAAGGAAGGAAGGAAGGAAGGAAGGAAGGAAGGAAGGAAGAAGGAAGGAAGGAAGGAAGGAAGGCATGTCTAGTTTGGAGGGAGGGAGGGAGGGAGGGAGGGAGGAAGACATGTCTCTAGTTTGGAAGGGTTGGAGGAAGGAAGGAAGGAAGGAAGGAAGGAAGGAAGGAAGACATGTCTAGTTTGGAGGGAGGGAGGGAGGGAGGGAGGAAGGGAGGGAGGGAGGGAGGGAGGGAGGGAGGGAGGGAGGGAGGGAGGGAGGGAGGGAGGGAGGGAGGGAGGGAGGGAGGGAGGGAGGGAGACATGTCTCTAGTTTGGAAGGAAGGAAGGAAGGAAGGAAGGAAGGAAGGAAGGAAGGAAGGAAGGAAGGAAGGAAGGAAGGAAGGAAGGAAGACATGTCTAGTTTGGAGGGAGGGAGGGAGGGAGGGAGGGAGGGAGGGAGGGAGGGAGGGAGGGAGGGAGGGAGGGAGGGAGGGAGGGAGGGAGGAAGACATGTCTCTAGTTTGGAAGGGTTGGAGGAAGGAAGGAAGGAAGGGGAAAGGGAAAGGGAAAGGAAAGGAAGGAAGGAAGGAAGGAAGGAAGGGAAAAAACTAGGTTTGGGGGGGGAGGGAGGGGGGAAAGGAAAAAAAGGAAAAAGTTTTTAGTTTGGAGGGGGGGAGGGAGGGGGGGAGGGCGGAAGCCCTGTCTCTAATTTGGAAGGAGTTTGGGGGAAGGAAAAAGGGAAAGGGGAAAGGGAAAGGGAAAGGGAAAGGGAAAGGGAAAGGAAAAGGAAAGGGAAAAACATGTCTAGTTTGGAGGGAGGGAGGGGGTTTAGGGAGGGAGGGGGGGAGGGGGAAGACCGTCTTGTTTGGGGGGAGGGGGGGAGGGAAGGGAGGGAGGAAAACATGTCCCCTAGTTTGGGGGTTGGGGGAAAGGGAAAGGAAAGGGAAAGGAAAAGGGAAAGGGAAACAAAAGGGAAAGGAAAAGGGAAAGGGAAAAAAGGAAGGGGATGTCTAGTTTGGAGGGAGGGGGGGGAGGGGGGAGGGAGGGGGGGAGGGAGGGGAGGGGGGGAGGGAGGAGGGGGGAAAGGGGGGAAGACCCTGTCCCCTTTGGGTTTTGGAAAGGGGTTTGGGGGAAGGGAGGAAGGAAGGGAAAGGGAAGGGAAGGGAAAGGGAAGGGAAGGAATGTTAAATTTGGGAAAGGAGGAAGGAAGGGAAAGTTTTAGTTTGGGAAAGGAAGGAAGGAAGAAGAAAGGAAACAAGGAAGGAAAAACATGTCTAGTTTGGAGGGAGGGAGGGAGGGAGGGAGGGAGGGAGGGGGGGAGGGGAGGGGGGAGGAAGACATGTCTCTAGTTTTTGGGAAAGGGGTTTTGGGGGAAGGAAGGAAGGAAGGAAGGAAAGGGAAAGGGAAGGGGAAAGGGAAAACATGTCTAGTTTGGAGGGAGGGGGGGAGGGAGGGAGGAAAACAAAGTCTAGTTTGGAGGGGGGGAGGGAGGGAGGAAAACATGTCTTTTAAGGGGGTTTTGGGGGGGGGGGTTGGGGGGGAAGGAAGGGAAGGGGGGGGAAGGAAAAGGGAAAGGGGGGAAGGAAGGAAGGAAAGGAAAGGAAAAGGGAAAGGGAAAGGGAAAGGGAAAGGGAAAACATGCTAGTTTGGGGGGAGGGAGGGAGGGAGGGGGAGGAAGACATTCTAGTTTGGAGGGGGGAGGGAGGAAGGGGAGGGAGGAAGGGCATGTCTCTAGTTTGGGAAGGGGTTGGGAGGAAGGAAGGAAGGAAAAGGGAAAGGGAAAGGGAAACAAGGAAAGGAAGGGGAAAGGGAAAGGGGGGGATGTCTAGTTTTGGGGGGAGGGGGGGAGGGAGGGAGGGGGGGAGGGGGGGAAAGGGGGGGAGGGAGGGAGGGGGGGAAAAAAACTTCTCTATTTGGGGAAAGGGGTTTGGGGGAAGGAAAAGGGAAAGGAAAGGGAAGGGAAGGGGGGAAGGAAAAGGGAAAGGGAAAGGAGGAAGGAAGGAAGGAAGGCAAGTTATTTTGGAGGGAGGGGGAGGGAGGGAGGGGGGGGGGAGGGGGGGGAGACAATTTTAGTTTGGAAGGGTTGGAGGAAGGAAGGAAGGGGAAAGGGAAAGGGAAAGGAAAAGGGAAAGGGAAGGAAAAGGGAAAGGGAAGGGAAGGGGAAAGGGAAAGGGATGTTTTAATTTTTGGAGGGGGGAGGGGGGGGAGGGGGGAGGGGAGGGAAGGGCATGTTTTCTAGT